GTAACTGTGCTTATCAGTGATGTAAGGATCCACATGGAAATTCATCATGTCTCCACTGACAGTATTAAAGACAAATGCATTTTATTTTTGCTACACTGCTGCAGAAGGAATAGTGTTGTTGCCACCTATAGCTTTAGGCCTCAAATTTAGGAATGATTTTTTAAGAACAAGTTTTCATCAGTTTTTTTTTCTGTGATATCCGACTGATATCTTCAAACCCAGAGCATAAAGTACAATATAAAAAGGAAAACTAAAAAAAAAAAAACCAACTAAGCAAAAAGAAACACAAAAAAAGAAAAAAAAAAAAAAACAAATAAACAACAAAAATTTGTACATGATTCCTGATTAGGAATGACAGCTTTGATTATTCATTTACTGGGAAGATGCAAAATATTTCCCCTAATGGTCACTTTGACCTGAAAAACTTGTGCAAGACATAAAAAGACCCCATTTTCATAAGCGCTTACTCAACAGGTTGGCACTCCTACTGAAGTAGATCTCTATATTAATAAGCAGTAATGTCACACTGTGGATGACCTACAGTCTTTCTACTAACAGCTAAGACATGTTTAGGTTCCTACCTATGAAACCATCTGGAGACTGAAGACTTAAAGGTTGTTAATTCAAGTTTACTACTCATTTTTCTCAGAAAGACCCTAAGAATGGAAAAAAAAAAATCTGATTACCTATATTTCTAACACACCAATAAGATACACCAAACAATAAAAATTAAAAATACTTTTACATATACAATCAAAATAATTGATCCACTCACGATCAGCTGCATTTTACAAACATAGAAACTACTAAAAGTTAAAACCATGTATATTACAAAAAACTTTAAGCATTATTTACAGAATTTATTCACCAGACCACTGTTTTAAAACTTCTAGTTTAAATAGAACATATTTTGTTAAAGTATCAGCTGCAAAAATTGAATTACTAATATTTTCATAAATATATTTAAGTCTTATCAGTATTTATTAAGTAGGCCACCAAACAGTAGAAAGCTCTAGTTATTTTCCAGTGAAAACTTGTTTAAAAACTTTTAATTTAACAAAAATCTTTAAATAAATCTCAGAAACCTGAAAAAAAAAAAAAAAAAAAAAAAAAAACCACCAGAAGAACAACCAATCCAAACCAAAATCCCAACGCTGTACAATTGGAAGTAATTTTGGGAGTGAAAGAAAAGAGAACTGGAAAGGAAAGACTATACCAGAGATAAACAGAAATAATCACAGCAATGCTTGCTAGCTTTTAAAGTCTTACAAAAGTATATACATATATGTCAGTTCCCACAAGAAAATATTGAAAAAATAATTTAAGTACTCAGAATTCCTTTTCTTTCTCCTTATGATAGATATACTTCAACTTTACCAGCTGGTAACTACTCAACTTCTCTTTATGGCTACCTTTAAAGCATCAAGAAGCTCAAAATTTGTATTACATTCAACACAAACTGTAGAAACTACTCTGTTTGAGTGAAGTTTTGCATTACAGCGCTAGAAGCTCTGAATCAATATTATTTCTGCTGAACAAGACAGGAAGAAAAAAAAACAACAACCTTAACTGTCTTTTTAGGGAAAAAAAAGGATTTAAAATAAAATTGTTACTGGATTGCTACACATAATAAAAACACTCCCAAAACAAACTACACACTCTCTGAAAGCGTTCCTAAGTTCCATGCCAGACTTACAGAATAAATTTAGGCCAGTACCAAGCACTCATTTCTTCCCCGTGTGTAAATGCGACACAATCAGGCCTCACATGCAGGCCTCTCTCTCCAACACAGGCAGGACCTTTGTTCGATACGTCGATGTTTTTCCCCCAAAGCCCTTGACATAACTTTCCATTCTTTCCCCTATTATTTTCCGGTTCCCCGTCTAGACTTCGGGACTCCCGAGCCGTGCAAACCCCCGCCTGCCGGAGAGCCGTGCACTCGGAAGGGGGAAGGGGGAACAATAAAAAAGTTGGACACAGGAAGACGGGCCTGTAGGTCTGGCAAGAGCCCCGGCCTCGGTTCCTTCCCTTCCCCGGATCACCGGGGCAGCAGCCGGGAGCCCCAGTGCCACCAGCCCCCCCAAACTTGTCCCACTACCCAGCCCCCCGGGAAAAGGGAAGGAGGAAGAGCCAGGCAGGAAAGGCAGAACCCAGCGTTTGATCAGCCTCCAAGTACGACGCATTATGCAAGCAAACGCAAGAACCAGGCAACTTGCTTCTTGACTGAAAACAAGAAAAACATCAGCTCGAAAACATTTAGCTTCGAAAATAATCCCTTTCGTGGGCAGCCAGCTTTGTGACTCCGACCCCACGGGCGCCTCCGTTTTCTGCCCACCTTCTTCCTCCCCCCAAAAAAGCTTGTGAAATATGGACGTCGGCCGATTGTTTAGCATTTTTACCGAGCTGGGCAGGATGGAAAGAAAAAGAAATTGCTATTTTTTCCTTTAAGATATTCCTTAGCTTCTTTAGAGGGAAAAAAATAATAATAAAAATGGGGTGGGAAAGAAAGAACCACAGAGGAAAAGGGGGCCAAGCGGAGTGGGGGAGGGAAGACGGGGAAGGGCATCGAAATCGGCACGGCAGTGTCAACACTGACACTGCCCTTTTGTATCAGCAGCTACACAGGGCCCACGGAGGGGCGGCCGCGCTGCCGGCCCCCTCCCCGCCGGGCGGCCCGGGAGAGGCCAGGTGGCCCCCGGCACCACTG